CCCTGGACCAGATACCGGAAGACCAAGCTCTGGCTCCTATTGGTTGTATGACTTTATTCCTCTGAGCCTCAGTCTGCCCATTTGCAAAATGGAGGTGATACCTACCTCACCAGGTTGTGAATTCAGACAATTACACTAACAGCTAAAAGCACCTGACTTATCTACCTACCCAACAGAAGGGCTGACTGTCTTTGCTGCCGTCACTGTTATTGTACCTGTAGAGACACGGCTTTGGCACTGCTGCTGCTGTTTGCTTTTTGGTTATCATGATATCTTTGGGCAGAAATAGAGAGAGACAGAAAGACCTTCCATTGGCTATTTCACTCCCCAAATGCCTTCAACAGCTGGGCATGGGCCAGGCCAAAGTCAGGAGCCTAGAACTCCATTCAGGTTTCTCGTGGGGTGGCAGGGACCTAAATACTTGAGTTGTCATTTGCTGCCTCCCAGGATGCGCACTAGAAGGAAGCTGGATAGGGAGCAGGGTAGCCAGGACTCGAGCCGATCACTCCCATGCAAAGCAGTGACTGAATCGTTGCACCCAACATCTGCCCCGGCCCTCGCTCTTAGTATTGAACATTGCTTGAACATTTCCTGTGCACTATGCACAGTGTCAAATGCTTTCAGCCCATTGTCTATTGTCCTGCTAACAATCCTGCGAGACAGGATTCCTAATTCTCATTTCACCAGTGACGACACTAAGGCTCAGAGAAGTTAAATAGCTTGCCCAAGGTCCCAAACACAGAATTGGTCTGACCTGTAGCCCACACCCTTTCCACCAAACTGCACTGCCTTGTTGACTGCAGCGGCTACGTGGTAAATGGCTAAACCTAAAACCACTCATTCATTCGTGTAACAGCTATTTATTGAGTACCAACTAATACCAAACACACAATAAACAAGAGTCAGCCAGGCAGCCCTCTACCAAGGTGAGGAGCTGCACTGGAGGCCTTGGGTTCCATGTTCAAGTTTACTAAATTCAAATGCATTTGCACGTTTCATAATGTGGTGCTTTTTAGAACCAGAAGGGTCTCATTTTCCCCACAAGATGGCTAAGGCCCAGAGAGGATGAGGAACTTGGCCAAGGCCACATAGCAGATGAGCGGCAGAGCAAGACTATGCACTCTGACTCAACGTTTCTGGATCAAAGGTCACTATTTTATCAACACGGCCCAGACAAACACAGATGGCAAGACCAGATCCACCACCACAAACAAACACACGTGTTTGAGGGGGCGCTGAGGGTGCAGGGTCCTGGTGGTTCTCTGGCCCTCACCCCTGGCCCACGGCAACCCCCTCTCTCTCCTCTGACTGTCTGCAGAGAGACCTAGGGGTTGGAGGCTCTGATTAGCTCTCAGGGTGGGGACTTCCAGCACCCCCGCAGCGAGACTCCAGCCTCCTCCACGGCTCAGCCTTTGGTTCCCTACACAGCTGACTCTCACTGCTGGCACCTGAATGTGGTAGGGGCTCATGGAGGGGACATCCCATCTCATCCCAGTCCACAGCTGGGGAAATCAAAGCTCGGGGACATGAGGTGATTGCCATAATTGGGATTTGACTTTCACATTGGATTCGCAAGTGCAGCCTCTTTCCAAAACCACATGACTTCAGGCAGCTCAGAATGAGAGCCCTTTTCATACTAGTTTCCCATTTGTGAAAAAGAGATTCGACGGGCTCGGTGCCATGGTGTAGCGGGTAAAACTGCTACCTGCAGTGCCGGCATCCCATATGGGCACCCATTTGAGTCCCGGCTGCTCCACTTCCGATCCAGCTCTCTGCTGTGGCCTGGGAAAGCAGTGGAAGATGGCCCAAGTGCTTGGCCCCTGCACCCACATGGGAGCCAAGTCAGGAGCCATGGAAGAAGCTCCTGGCTCCTGACTTCAGGTTGGTGCAGCTCCAGCCGTTGCAGCCATCTGGGGAGTAATCCAGTGGATGGAAGACCTCTCTCTCTCTCTTTTTATTTTTTTATTATTTTTATTTTTTATTTTTTTGACAGGTAGAGTGGACAGTGAGAGAGAGAGACAGAGAGAAAGGTCTTCCTTTGCCGTTGGTTCACCCTCCAATGGCTGCCGTGGCCGGCACACTGCGGCCGGCGCACCGCGCTGATCCGATGGCAGGAGCCAGGTACTTCTCCTGGTCTCCCATGTGGGTGCAGGGCCCAAGCACTTGGGCCATCCTCCACTGCACTCCCGGGCCACAGCAGAGAGCTGGCCTGGAAGAGGGGCAACTGGGACAGAATCCGGCGCCCCAACCAGGACTAGAACCCAGTGTGCTGGCGCCGCAAGGCGGAGGATTAGCCTAGTGAGCCGCGGCGCCGGCCTCTCTCTCTTTCTGTTTCTCTCTCTCTTTGCCTCTACTTCTCTCTCTGTGTAACTCTGACTTTCAAATAAATAAATAAATCTTGAAAAAATAAGAAAGAGATACTTACCTGTGTCATTTGCCTCAAAGGGCTGTAGTGCCAATCATTCAATATCAGGGGGAGAAAAAGGCTTTGCAAACTCTTCCAGACGCCGGTTACATTACACGTACACACGTAGACACAGATGGGACCTCTGCACAGGGTTAGCGTGTTGGGGCTGGAGTCAGAGTCGCCTCTGATCTAATCTTCCGATTTGACCAGACGTGAAACTGGTCCCAGAGGCAGGCCTTGGGGTTGGGTTTTCTGGTTCCTATTCCTCGGCTCTTTTCCCAAGGGGCCTTGCAGAGTCAGCAGGGCTGGGCAGAAATATTGCTGCTACACTGCTGTGGCTCCCCTGCCACCCACACTGTAGGGTGGGACAGCTGTCCTCTGAGTCCAGGCGGTGTGGGGCCAACTTCAGAGGCTCAGGATGGGCAGAGGAAGCAGCACCCAGGAAAGGGAGCCTCGGGCAGCCCCAGGAGCAGAGCTGAAGCCGAAAGGAGTGTGACCATAGCCATGGCCGGGGAGGGAGGGGACAGAAGCCCACAGGGTACCTGGCCCGAGGTACAGGCCTCGACAGGACCGCCAAGGCCGTGGGAGCATTACAAATTGGGGTGGGAGGCAGCCTGGTGATTATCTGATCTTACCCTTCAGGCAGGTAAACTTGAGGCCCAGGAGTTATGAAATCTGAGAGCTCTCCTGTTTCTAAGAATACCCCGGTTTAGGCAGCTGGATCGACCCTTTTACTGCAAAGACACAAGCCTGCTGGACACAAAACCTAAAGTTTCAGTAAAATGTAGCAATCTCCAATTTCCTCAGCCATGCAAAGACTTGTCAAGACCTCGGATGACCTACTCCTGTGCAGACAGAGCCGCATCTCTCGCCTTCCAGTCTGGTTTGCTCACAGGTGGGACATCGTCCTGTCTGGGCACCACCTTTGGATGCCCTAGGCCATGTGCAGCTGGGGGCCAAGTGGAGCAAAGGACAATGGACAACACGGGTGCAATATTAAGAATGACATCAAGTGGGTAGAATAGGCCCAAGTTCAATACCTTCACTTTGCCTTTCTTGGCTTTAACCTTTCTTTGGCTTTGAGTAGATCGAAGTTCCCTTCTCACCTGTGATTCTGCTTGGGCCAAGGGTGATAGCGAGCTTCAAGGTCAAGGTGCCACTTCCCTGCGAGAAGCGGTCAGAGTGCACGGAGCCGGCCCATCCCTTGCGCTATGCTGGGAGGAATTGCCTGGCGGGCATGAGTCATCCGGATGTCCTGTCTGGACTGGTACTGGTAGACTGGCGAATGCGACGGCCTCCCTGCCTGTAGCAGAGTCTTCCTCCGAGTGAAAGTGGCTTCTGGCCCTGCCTCTCGGTCCCAGGCCCTGACACTTGGCGTGGGTGCAGGGAGAGACTTCCTCACCCAACGTTGTCCTTGTTCTCAGCTCCCAATTCAAACCTGCACCCTTCCTTCCCCTCCTCCAAGAGAGCCCACAGCTCTACCGAGTGGATTTCCTCTCCCCATGCCCGAATGCTACCCCAGGCCGGCCATCTCACCTTCCTGGTTTGGTGCCCACTTCACTTCCTGGCTCTTTTCACTCCTTCATGTCCTACCCTCCAGCCATGTGGACCTGCACAGGTGCTGCAACCACGGCCATGGCCTTGACCTCCCAGTGTCTTAGTTTCCGGAGGCATTCTCCTGGCCAGAGTGCCTTCCCGCAGCTTGTGTGCCAGCGACTCCTACTCAACCTTGAGAATTAGCTGGTGAGCCGCCGCCACTAAGGCAAAATCAGGAGTCCCTTCCTCATCCACGGCCAGACTGCTCTGAGTGTCCCCAGTCTCGTCGGCTCTTGGGAGCTGAGCAGGGCCAGGCCTGGTTAGTACGCAGACAGACGTCCTCTCCCCTGGCTCCCAAAGCACTCCTACAAACAGCATCAAAGCGGTTTCTCCAGTGGCCTCCACCACCCAAACTGTGCGTTCCCTTTGGGAAGAGGTCAGGTCTGACTCAGCATTCAGTCCTCGGTGTGGGGCACACGCTCACCAAACACTTGTGGAGTTCAGCTCCACCGAGAGCTCTGGGAGGGAAGTGGTCTCCCAGCAGGGCAGGGGGATGTCCTGCCTGGGGACCCTGCCTCAATTGCTTGCTGCATGGCCACATGTGCTGCTTCACACAGGCCACTGCATTCATTCATTCATGCAGTATGTAGGGGACACCAGGGTAGCCTTGTGGTCAGCTTAGCTAACCCAAGCTACATTCTCCAGATTGCCAATGGCAGGGCTGGTGCCGTGGCTCACGTGGTTGATCCTCCGCCTGTGGCGCTGGCATCCCATATGGGCACCGGGTTCTAGTCCCGGTTGCTCCTCTTTCAGTCCAGCTCTCTGCTGTGCCCCGAGAAAGCAGTGTAGGATGGTCCAAGTGCTTGGGCCCCTGCACCCGCATGGGAGATCAGCAAGAAGCACCTGGCTGCTGGCTTCGGATCGGCGTAGCTCCAGCCGTTGTGGCCATCTGGGGGGTGAATCATCGGATGGAAGACCTTTCTCTCTTTCTCTCTCTTTCTCACTGTCTGGAACTCTACCTGTCAAATAAATAAATAAATAATCTTAAAAAAAAAACACCAGAATGCCAATGTCCCATAGGGTCCTGGGTTAGAGCTGGCCACCAGAGAAATAAGTGCAAGGTTTGGAAGGCAGGAGTGAGCCAAGGCCACTGTCATGCTTTCGGGTTGCATAGGGCAGTGGGAGGTCACCTCACACACTTGCCACTGCGTGACTGACTCACCTGATTGGCTGGGGGCAGTCACCGGATCCGCAGCTTCTCCCGCTCCTGAACGAGGAGTGTGGGATTCTGAAAGGAGGGGTCCACTTTGTCCCTGGAGTCACCCCCATTGGCTGAGATCACAGGCAGCAAGAGACAGGTGCGCGATTCCAGGTCCTCCTGTCTTCCCCACCCCCTGTCCGTCTTCCCTCCCTGCACCCGCCCTCCTGACCTAAGGCCTCACAGAGAAACAAACACCCACTTCCAGACAACTCCACAGCCCCAGCGGGGCGGGAGCTCTGAGCCCTGGGTTAAGCCCCTTTCTCTCTCTCCAGGGTCTCAGAGGTTCTGCCTCCACGGTGGCGCCCTGCTGGGTCCTGTGACTGGCCAGCTCATGGGCACTGCAGATGGGGAAGTGAGTAAGACACGGCCCACCAGGGTCGCAGAGCCCAGTCTGCCTGACATGGGGAAGGGCCAGTAGACGAAGGCGCAGACTTGCAGCTGCTCTGTCAAAGGCACGATCAGGCCAATCCTCCAGGGAAGGGCACACAGAACCACTCTCCGCACAGCCCCGGACCAGGGCACCAACCCTCCCAGGACAGGGCTTGGGGGGCCCGTGGGCCCGGCCTCCATGACCTCACAGCTGTGTCTGCCTTGGCTGAAAGAGAGACCTTTGGGCTCTGACCACCAGTTAGTTTAGCCAAACAACCGCATGTTATTTTTCTTCCTGTTAATCCTCAGGTCAAAGACCTTCCCTGGTCTGCGCAGGACGTGGAAGGTATGCAATCTCTCCCTCTCCCTCTCTCTCTCCTCTGTCTCTTTAAGATTAATTTATTTATTTGAGATGCAGAGTTACAGACAGAGAGCGGGAGAGACAGAGAGAAAGGTCTTCCATCAGCTGGTTCACTCCCCAAATGGCCACAGCGGCTGGAACTGGGCCCATCCAAAGCCAGGAGCCAGGAGCTTCTTTTGGGTCACCCACCTGGGTACAGAAGCCCAAGCACTTAGGCCATTTTCCACTGCTTTCCCAGGCCATTAGCTGGAAGCTGGATTGGAAGTGAAGCAGCCAAGACTCAAACCAGTGCACATACGGGATACCAGTGCCGCAGGCAGAGGCTTGACCTACCACGGCCCCATGCAGCCTCTCTAAACCATGCTTTGTAAGTTGTCAACGTTGACGGAATGAAGGATTTTTTTTTTTCTTTCAAAACTTCCCATCTGTCACAGACTGACACTTTCATAAAATACTATAAAAGTGAATCATTAGAAAGAAAAGTGAAATGTAAAAAAGACACTCTCCTAGCTGAGATGTTTTTATTAGACTTAATGGGTTTAAAATTGCGCCATCAAATTGTTAGAAACATTCCTAAGTGCTTATTCTCAGTTCCTGCACCTACCTCATCGCAGACTGCTAACCAGCAGTTCGTAGGCAGGTGCCGGTGTGTGGGCCACACGCTGAGTAGGCCTGCTCATGCCACACACACTCGGGGAGCAGCCCCGCCCCCGCCCCACATGGAGGCACAGCCGGGCAGCGTCCTCACTCTTCTGGTGTGAGACAAAGAAGAACGGCCGTGGATCCCCTCGCCTGTGACCTTGCTCTGAGATCAAACCTCCTCAGGTCTCGGGCTTCTCACCTGTAAAGTGGAGCACGGGCAGAAACGTGGGGTGGGGTAAGCAAGAGCACACCGTCCACTCTCCACGGCGTGGTGAAGACCGGCTGAGGCGGCGGCGCTGGGGGTGGCTGTGGCTGCTGAATCGGGGCTGCTCACAGAGCTCTGTAAGGAGCGCCTTTGGGGGGTCCTGGGAGCAGAGACGGCTGAGACACAGGGTGGCATCTTGCCCAGCCCAGCCTCAGCGGGAGGATCATGTTCGTGAGAGCTCTGTGAGACTGAAGAAGGACACGCATGCTGCCTCTGGGCGCAGACACGGGAGGACACGGAGGGGAGGAGGGTGCTGGGGCGCAGGAGCTGCAGGGACCCGGTGTCTGCAGTTCTGCTAGGCTTCTGCCCCTTCCGGGGCTGCAGAAAGCTCATCTCGTGGGGAACGAAGTCCTCTGCAGCCAAGATGTCCTTTAAGGAACCCAAACGGGGTGCTGTTTGGCTCAGGGCATAGAATGTTCCTTGGAGGCCCACATCTCACGTTGGAGTTCCTGGGTTTGAGCCGGCTCCACTTTTTTTTTTTTTTTTTTTTTTCAGGCAGAATTAGACAGTGAGAGAGAGAGAGAGAGACAGAGAGAAAGGTCTTCCTTTACTGTTGGTTCACTCCCTAAGTGGCCACTATGGCTGGCGCTGCGCTGATCCGAAGCCAGGAGCCAGGTGCTTCTTCCTGGTCTCCCATGTGGGTGCAGGGCCCAAGCACTTGGGCCATCCTCCACTGCCTTCCCGGGCCACAGCAGAGAGCTGGACTGGAAGAGGAGCAACCGGGAGTAGAACCCCAGGTACTGGCACCACAGGCGGAGGATTAGCCAAGTGAGCTGCAGCGCCAGCCCCGGCTCCACTTCTGATTCCTGCTTCCTGTTAATGTGCACCTGGGACGAAGTAGGGGTGAGTCCTTGGGCCCCTGCCACCCATATGGGAGACCTGAGTTGAGTTCTGGGCTCCTGCCTTTAGCTCTGGTCCTGCCCTGGCTGTTGCAAGCATTTGGGGAGTGAAGATTTGGGAAGATTTCTCTGTCTCTCTCTGGCTTTGCCTTTCAAATAAATAAAAATAAATTTTAAAAAAAGATATATTTTATTTATTTGAAAGACAGAGAGAGAGATTTCCACCTGCTAGTTCACTCCCCAGATTGCTGCAATGACCTGGGTTGGGCACTCCAAAGCCAGGATCCAGGAGCTTCTGCTGGGTCTCCCACATGAGTTGTAGGGACCCAAGCACTTGGGCCATCTTCTGCTGCTTTCCCAGGCCACAGCAGGGAGCTGGATCAGAAGTGGAGCAGCCAGGACTTGAACTGGTTTTCATATGGGATGCTGGCACTGCAAGCGACAGCTTAACCCACTGTATCGCAAAGCTGGCCCCCATCCCTCTGACCTGAGGCCTCACTTTCTGTGTTTTCAGTTAGTTGAAGTCTACACTGACCAGAAAATTCCAGAAATAGATAATTCATAAGTTTTAAAACAACCTTTATTACAGTATATAGTACCTATTACCGTTATAATTGTTCCATTTTATCACTAGTTATTCTTGTTAATCTCTTACTGTACTTAACTTTGTTAACACGCTAAGTATGTTTTGAAGGGCACTTTAAAAAGTTTGTGGAAAGTGGAATTAAAAAAATAAGTTTATTTCGGTGCAAAATTTTTTTGAAATTCATGCATAGTTTTTTTCATACTATGAAAAAACACATTTTTCATGAGCTTTTGGAAGACCCATTGTAAACATGGATTTCAAAACAGTTTACAGGGGCCAGCGTTGTGGCACAGGTGGTTAAGCCACCACCGATGATGCCGGCATCCCATATGAGCACTGGTTCAAGTCACAGCTGCTCCACTTCCTAGGCAGCTCCCTGCTAATGCACCTAAGAAAGCAGCAGAAGATGGCCCAAGTGCTTGGGTCTGTACCCCTCTCGTGGGAGACCTGAATGGAGTTCTGGGCTCCTGGCTGCAGCCTGGCCCAGCCCTGGCCATTGCAGCCATTTGAGGAGTGAACCAACAGAGATCTCTGTCTTCCTCTGTCACTCTTCCTACAAATAAATAAATCTTTTGAAAAGCAACAACAGACAGGGTTTGGAACTATATGCGGTTTCAGGCATCCGTGGGCCAGCTTGTGACACATCCCCTGTGACTGCATACAGTGGACCTGTGGCACTAACCCGGGGAGTGTGTTACCATTAGGAAGGGGAATGTCTAAAAGGGTTCCTTAGGAACACGACAGTGAAAGTGTTCAGATGCCCCAGCTGAGAGGGCTGATGTCCTGCCGCAGCAGATGCTGTAGCTGGTGAGGTTTGATCACAGGCGCCACCGTGAGCTCCTCCACCCCAAGCTGGTAAGACCCGGGGGCATCCACATCGCACTGTTAGTGACAATGAACCCCAAACTGCTGAGCACCCAAAAGCAGGGACATCCCCGGGCGTCTGCAGCGCTTCCCGGGGGGCTCCTCCAGGGCTGTGATCTGCCCCCAGGTGGTGACCTCCGAGCTATCTTGGGATGCTCCAGCTTCCCCTAGGGGCTGCATGAGAGAGCCCAGGAGGTCTGGTGCAGATTGTGATGAGGCCTTAGGAGCAAGCCCCTGCCCTTCTGCCAACTTCCAGAACAGTGCCGCCGCCCACGACTATGTCAGCCATGTTAGCCGGACAGGAAATCTACCCCCACCCCACCCCACCCCCGCCATGGGTGCCTGGAAGCAGCAGCACCTGCACACTTCCTCCCGGGAGGCCACCTGGCGAGACTCAGCCTTACCCTCTTCTGTTCAGGTTGAGGATTTGCAAATGTGGGTTGGATCGTGTCACTCCCCCGCGTTCCCATGGTGCTCACCGCGGTCCACACTCCTGGCGCTAAGCCCGGGTGCTAGTCTTGGAAAGTCAAGTCCAGTCCTGTTGCACAGCCTCTGCCCAAACACTACCTCTGCCTGTCACGTTCCTCCTCTCCTCTCCCTCTGCCCGTGTCTGGCTCCAGAGTCTCCCCTAACTGCCCCCCGACCTCCGCTTTTTCCTACCACCCTGTGGTTTGCTTCGCAGCACATAGTTGCCACCCTCGGTAATGGTTTCTCTGCTGTTGACTGTCTGTCTTCCCACTGGATTGCTAATCTCCTGAGGGCACGGACCAGGGCCATCTTGCCACCCACGACTGTGTACACAGTAGACCTCAGTAATTATTTCTTTCTTTCTTTTTTTTTTTTACAGGCAGAGTGGACAGTGAGAGAGACAGAGAGAAAGGTCTTCCTTTACCGTTGGTTCACCCTCCAATGGCCACTGTGGCCAGCGCACTGCGGCCGGCGCACCGCGCTGATCTGAAGGCAGGAGCCAGGTGCTTCTCCTGGTCTCCCATGGGGTGCAGGGCCCAAGCACTTGGGCCATCCTCCACTGCACTCCCGGGCCACAGAGCAGAGAGCTGGCCTGGAAGAGGGGCAACCGGGACAGAATCCGGCGCCCCAACCGGGACTAGAACCCGGTGTACCGGCGCCGCAGGCGGAGGATTAGCTTATTGAGCCACGGCGCCGGCCAGTAATTATTTCCTGAACGAGGGACTGCGTGCCTGAGAGGAGACTGTGCTATGAGAAGTAACAGGCAATTGTGATGCCGGCGTCCCACATGGGAGCACTGGTTTGAGTCCCGGCTCCACTTTTGATCCAGCTCCCTGCTAATATGCCTGGAAAGGCAGTGGAAGATGGCTCAAGTACTTGGCCCCTGCCACCTGCTTGGGAGACCCAGATGGAATTCTTGGCTCCTGGCTTCAGCCTGGCTCAGCCCTGGGGCGTGACCCAGCAGATGGAAGATCTGTCCGTCTGTTTCTCCCTGTCTTTCAAATAAATAAATCTTAAAAAGAAAAAGAAAAGTAACAGATGGGTATGAATATACATGTCAAGGTCAAGGAACCAGGAGACTGTCTCCCCCCACCTCCCTGGGCCTCCTGCCCTAGCACTGCTATTTAGGATCACACAAACAGGTGACAGGAAAGGGCTGAGATCAGAGAGGGTGCCGCCCCATATTCTGCAGGGGATCGGCTCCGAGTGCCGCTGGGGGACTTCCCTGCGTTCCTGATAATTCACAGTCTGCTGGCAATTCACCAGGGGGTGAGAGCATGTAACTTCAGCCTCCTTGCACGGGAGCTGCTCCGGGAGCTGGTCAAGAGGGTGCCCGGAGGCAGGACGGGAGGGTGGAGGACGCCCAGGCACCACTCCGGCAGTGGCAGCGAAGTCAGCGGCAGCACCGAGGCGCTTCCAGAGCTAATGACTTGGAAGGTACCGGCTTGGCTTCTACACGGTTTCCAGGAAAAATACCCACCCCGACACGATCCCGCCTCACTAACTCAGGGTCTGTCGGTAACACCAGTGGGCCTTTATTTTCAAGGAATTTCCACCTCTTCGATCTCCCTGACCCAGCCACCCTAATCACCAATGCTATGCTCTACACTCAGGGCAAGAACATAGAAAGAGAGTCAGCCAGCTATCTGACATTCCCTCCCGCTGTGCAGGGTGCTCTGTGTACATCATCCCTGGGTGACTCAAGACCTGTGAAGTAGGCATAAGTGGCCGCATCGACGCGGGATGATAATTTACCCAAAACCACAGAGGTATTCGCTGAAAACCCATTAGGAGTTCTTCAGCACCACAGCTTGTGTTTTCAGGCCATAAGGATCCGTGACAAAAGATCTGTAGCTGGATTACATCCATTACGTAATCCGTGATTAAGAGAGATTTCATCAGACAGGATTTAATGTGAATGAACTCAGCCGGCAAGTGGATGTGGAGATCGCAGCCAAGGGTGAAATGAGATTAGAAGCCTTTCGGAGGCATGGAAGTTTCTCCATTGATAAAGAGGTTGAACTACATAATATGTCCCATGAGCAGGGCATGTGCTATATCTGACTCCTTACACACAAGCACCTTTCCCGAATTTTTGTTTTTAAAGATGTATTTATTTATTTGAAAGGCAGAGTTACAGAGAGAGACAGAGAGGTCTTGCATCAGCTGGTTCACTC